GCCATTTTTGAGGATTGTTTACTTTTAGTGAATTTTGCCAAAGTCTCTGTCATTTACCGAAACGCTTAACTGCACTCTTGTGTATTCCTTGAATCAGTTCTTAAAGCTTTTGTGTCCAGCACTCTCCTTTTAAAATGTTCTGCTTGGATTTCGAGTCTGGGAGTGACATACATTCAACTCACGTAAGTCTATGCTACCAGACGTATTGGTGGATCTTAATTGACTATACCTGAGACCTATCATATACAACAATAATATACATATAAATATATAAGGATACAACATCTGGCCTTATACTGCATATGTATTTAACATCTTACTATTGATTATTGCTGATTTCCAGGAATCTTTGGAAGAAATTCTTTGGGATTCTCCTGGAGAATTAACAAACTGTTGAACACTAAGCCAAATTGTGAAAACAGGTGTTTTAAATAAAAGCTGTTCGTTGTAAGTGCTGTTCAGGTTTTGAGTGGGGCACCTGCAACTCTGGGACAGCTAACCTGGCTCTTTTATAGGGATGCCAGGTTCAGGTTGGAAAACGCCTTGATATTTGGGGGGTGGAGCCTGTGGAGGACAGGGTTTAATGCCACAGAGCTTACCCTCCAAAGCAGCCATTTTCTCTCGAGGAACTGATTCATGTCAGCTGCAGATCAGTTGGAGAGTTGCTAGCTCCCCCCTGGCCACTGGTGCAGAATGGTAGGGGTACGGTGGCCGGATCCAGGTTGGGAAACTCCTGGAGATTTGGGGATGGAGCCTCCAAAGCAGCCATTTCCTCCGGGGGAACTGATCTCTGTAGCCTGGAGCAGAGGTCCATCAGGGGCTATTAGCCACAAGGTATAGATGGGAACTGTCGGTCTGGGGCAAGGGATGCTCTGTATGCTTGGTGCCTGGGGGGGGCAACAGTGGGAGGGCTTCTAGTGTCCCGGCCCCACTGCTGGACCTCCTGAGGGCACCTGGTATTTTTGGCCACTCTGTGACACAGAGTGTTGGACTGGATGGGCCATTGGCCTGATCCAACATGGGCTTCTCTCTTATGTTCTTATATGAAGCAGAGGTCCATCCGTGGCTATGAGCCACAAGGCATGGATAGGAACTCTCAGGTTGAGGCAAGGGTTGCTCTATATTCTTGGTGCCTGGAGGGGGGTCAATAGTGGGAGGACTCCTAGTGTCCTGGCCCCACTGCTGGACCTCCTGTTTGCACCTGGTATTTTTGGCCACTGTATGACACAGAGTGTTGGACTGGATGGGCCATTGGTCTGATGCGACATTGGCTTCTCCTAAGTTCTTATGACGAGCTTTGATTCCAGATCTCCAGGCCCCACCTTTTAGGCTAAAAAGGGCTGCATAATTATAACCTTTTAAAATTAGCAGAGGACCTCTGATCATGCAGGGCTATCTCTCTCCACCACTGTAGAACCTTCACCAGCCTTGGTGTATCGGGAGTGAGGGGGAAAGGGCTTCTTGGGTCAAACTCATGACACAAGCTTTAGAGTGATCCCAAACTCTTTATTAGGCTGGATGGGTTTTTGTTTTTTTTAAATGCTTCTCTATGTCAGAAGCCACCTGTGTGCTGAGACGAGAGCACAGAGGCCACAGAGAAGGGTGGGGGTCACTGGACCAGGGCATTTTATGCATCTTCAGTGGCCATGAACTATCAGAGTCTTCCCCTTCAGGAACAACCTGAAGACACTCTCACGGATCTCCTTGGTCTTCACTCCATAGACAATGGGGTTCATCAGGGGGGGCAGAAGCAGGTAAAGGTTGGCCATAATAATGTGAACGTGAGGAGCAACGCTGTGACCCCCAAAGCGGTGCGCAAAGAAGGTGAAAAAAGCCGGGGTGTAGGAGACCGTGATCGCACAGATGTGAGCTGTACAGGTGCCGAAGGCCTTGCTCCGGGCTTCCTTGGAAGAGAGACCCACGACGGCCCTCAAGATCATGAAATAAGACACGGTGATGCAGAAGATGTCAAAGCCTCCGGATCAACAGGGCCACGGCAAGCCCGTAGATGGCGTCGACCCGGATGCTGCTGCAGGCCAGCTTCACCACCGCCATGTGGTCACAGTAGGTGTGAGCGATGATGTTTTTACCACAGTACTGCAGCCTCCGGACCAAGAAAGGGAAAGGAAGGATGAGGACCGCTCCTCTGAGGAAGGTGGCCAGCCCTGCCTTAACGATGATGGGATTGGTCAAGATGGTGGTGTATCTCAGCGGGTAACAGATGGCAACAAACCGGTCCAAGGCCATGAGCATGAGGACGCCGGACTCCATCCCTGTGAAGGTATGGACCACGTACATCTGGACCAGGCAGGAGCTGAAGTCTATTTCTTTGAGGTTGAGCCAGAAGATGCAGAAGGCCTTGGGCATGGTGGATGTGCCCCTAACCATGTCCGTGATGGAGAGCATGCAGAGGAAGTAGTACATGGGTCTGTGCAGGGCCTCCTCCGTCCAGACGATGTAGAGGAGCCCGCAGTTCCCCACCATGCCAATGAGGTACATGGAGAAAAACGGGAAGGAGATCCAGACGTGAGCATGTTCCAACCCTGGGATCCCACTCAGGATGAACCGCAAGAACATCTGCCCTGTTTCATTGGAACTGGCCATGCTGGGTTCGTGTAGGACATATTCCACACTGAGAACCAAGCTGTTAAAACTGTAACACAGAGAAACAAAGGAGTTAAATTTTTACAGCCATAATTACCTCAGTGTAATGAAATCTCAGCGATAACACATTAATGAGAGCCAGTTTGGTGTAGTGGTGAAGTGCGCGGACTCTAATCTGGGAGAACCGGGTTTGATTCACACTCCTCCACTTGCACCTGGCTTTGGGCAAGCCATAACTCTGGCACAGCTGTTCTTGAAAAAGAGCCGTTTCTGTCAAGAGCTCTCTCAGCCCCACTTGCCTCACAGGGTGTCTGTTGTGGGGAGGGGAAGGGAAAGGAGTTTGTGAGCCGCTCTGAGACACCTTTGGGTAGTGAAGGGCGGGGTATAAATCCAATCTCTTCTCTTCTCTTCTCTTCTCTTCTCTTCTCTTCTCTTCTCTTCTCTTCTCTTCTCTTCTCTTCTCTATTTTTAAAAACCTTGGCAATTTCCAACCCACAGTGTGTGTGATATATTTGATAGTTCTTGGAAAAGTGATACTCATCTAGGGTGGGGCTATAGGTCAGTGGCAGAGCATCTGTTTGGCACGTAGAATGTCCCAGGTTCAATCTCTGCTCTCTCCAGTTAAAAAGGACCATGTAGCAAGTGATCTGAATGACCTCAGCCTGAGACCCTGGAGAGCAGCTGCCGGTCTGAGTTGTCAATGCCGGCTTTAAGGGCCAGGGGTCTGACTCAGTACAGGGCAGCTTCATGTGTTCATCTTTGCTATTTGTAAATTTCTTCACCTGTAAGGATGGAATCCAAAGGGTACGTGCTGTATTACCTATTTTTGTTGCCTGATATCTTTGGACAGCGTTGGCTCTTTGGCTTGGAAACGGAGATGAGCACCGCATCCCTACAGTTGGATTTGACTGGCTTTTGAGCAAGGGAAACCTTTACCTTTACCTTACCAACAACTAAAGGACTGTGAAGGTTGAATTCTTCACAGAGCCAGAGAGCCTTGAGTGACAGGCTGCTCTAAGCAATCTGATTGGTTAGCATCAGCTAAGCAAAAAAAATAAAAATCTTGAGAGAGCTGGATGCTGAGGCGAGTCAGTCAGATTCCTGCCTTAACTGTGAAGAGACATTTACTGTGACCATTTTTGAATAGGTCTCACAGAAAAAGGGTTTATTGCTGATTTCAACCTTGACTGAACACAGTCTGAATTCAGCATTAGCTGAGAGCAGTTTGAACACAGACAGAGAACTGGGGAAAGTTTGGCAGGGAAGTTTGGGTAGTAGAGAAGACTCTCATTCAGGCCAAAGGAAAGGGGATAGATCTTCAAGAGAGAGAGAAAAAGAATCCCTGCACTGCCTGCAGTGCGATGTGACTGCGAAGAAAGCGAATGCAATCTTAGGATGCATTAACAGAAGCATTGTGTCCAGATCACGGGAGGTGGTCGTTCCGCTCTATTCTGCTATGGTCAGGCCTCACCTGGAGTACTGTGTCCAGTTTCGGGCACCACATTTTAGGAAGGATGTTGACAAGCTCGAGCGTGCCCAGAAGAGAGCAATCAGAATGGTGAGAGGGTTGGAATCCAAGTCTTACGAGGAAAGGCTGAAAGAGTTGGGTCTGTTCAGCCTGGGAAAGAGAAGGCTTAGAGGGGACATGATTGCAGTCTTCAAGTATCTGAAGGGCTGTCATGTAGAAGACGGAGCAGATATATTATCTCTTGCTACGGATTGCAAGACTCGATCTAATGGGTGGAAATGACAAGTGAGTTGTTACCGACTAAATATCAGGAGAAACGTCTTGACTGTAAGGGTGGTTGAGCAGTGGAACAGTCTGGCTTGGGAGGTGATGGAGGCTCCTTCACTGGACGTTTTCAAGCGGAGGCTGGATGACCATCTTGTGGGTATGTTTTAGGGCTCTTTCAGCTTTGCTCCTGCAGAGTGCAGGGGGTTGGACTAGATGACCTGCAAGGTCCCTTCCAACTCTAACATTCTATGATTCTATGATTCAAATGGAGACAGTGATCTCTGAGGAGTACAGAGATCTCTGGTCTGGTGTGATGAGAAACTGCTTGACCTTAAAAGTCAGCGAACAACTGAAGAAGAGTACTGGTGTTCCAAGTGAAGGTGTTTGGGTACTGGGAAGAGGACAACAGCCATCTTGGCACAAAAGAGTCAGCGATTACTCAAATAAAGTGAACTAGTGGGTTTGGGAAAACAGTGGAACAAAAGCCTCTCAATATAAATATCTAAGTAACCGTGAATGAATTAGGAACCTCTCACTAGCCTGATGTATAAGATCAAAAGTCTGTGCTTGTACTGGTTTTACCTCAGTAATTTCAACCCTGATTTCGCCTGACCTTTCCCTTTGATGTTAAATAAAACCATTTTTTATTTTTGAATTTTAAAAGTGTCTCAAGTGCCATTTTCACACACACACCCAGTGACCCTGCTCCATGCCCAGAAGATGGCAAAAAACCTCCAGGATCCCTAGCCAAACTGGCCTGGAGAAAAATTGATTCCTGACCCCAAAGTGGCAATCAGTATTTCCCTGGGCTTGCTGATCTTGAATAGAGTCATAGAGTTGGAAGGGACCTCTAAGGTCATTTAGTCCAACTCCCTGCACAAGTCAGGAAATTCACAAATACCTCCCCCTCCACACACCCAGTGACCGATGTTCCATGCCCAAAAGATAACAAAAAAAACCTCCAGCATCTCCAGCCAAACTGTCCAGGAGAACAATGGTTTCCTGACCCCAAAGTGGTGATTGGCATTTCCCTGGTCATGTAAGAAAGGGCCATGAGAACTAAGTCCTGAGGCAACCCTTCCTGCCCTCCCATCTCATGATCTGCCTAAGTTCACAGAATCAGCATTGCTGTCAGATGGCCATCTGGCCTCTGCTTGGAAACTTCCAAAGAAGGAAAGCCCACCACCTTCCAAGGAAGCCTGTCCCACTGAGGAACTGCTCTGTCAGGAAGTTCTTCCTACTGTGTAGCCGAAAACTCTTCTGATTTAATTTCAAGCGGTTGGTTCTGGTCCTACCCTCTGGAGCAACATAAAACAACTCTGCACCACCCTCTACATGACAGCCCTTCAGGTACTTGAAGATGGTTATCCTATCACCTTTCAGTTGTCTCCTCTCCAGGCTAAACATACCCAGCTCCTTCAACCTTTCCTCCACCGTCTTCATTGTCCTCCTCTGGACATGTTCCAGCTTGTCTATATCCTTCTTAAGTTGTGGTGCCCAAAACTAAACACAATACTCTAGGTGAGGTCTAACCAGAGCAGAGTAAAATGATACCATCACTTTGCGTGATCTGGACACTATACTTCTGTTGATACAGCACAAAATCGCATTTGCGTTTTTTAGCTACCGCATCACACTGCTGACTCCTGTTTAGTGTATGATCCCTAGATCCTTTTCGCAGATACTATTGCCAAGACAAGTCTTCCCCATCCTATATTTATGCCTTTGATTTTTCCTACCTCAATGCAGAACTTTATATTTATCCCCACTGAAATTCATTTTGTTTGTTCTAGGCCAGTTTTCTAGCCTGTCAAGATCATCCTGTATCCTGACTCTGTCTTCTACTGTATTTGCTACCCCTCCCAATTTAGTATCGTCTGCAAATTTAATAAGCATTCCCTCTATTCCTTTCATGTGCTGCTAGACTCCAGTTTTACAGTCTTGCTTGTAATCTGTCGTCCCCTCTCCCCAAATCAGTTTAAAGAGCCTCTTTTGAGTTCACTCTCCCCCCCCCCACCAGCAGAGAGAGCCCAGGTCAGATCCTGGGTCTGACTCAGCTGGATGTCTGGAGGATCCTTCATGCACGGTGCCACCCCCCACCCTCCAACCCCCGCCCAGAAGAGGAGCTCTCCTGAGCATGAACGGAATGGAGGCTCCCCTTGACTTGACAGCACTTCTGCATGAAAAGCTGTGGATCAAACTGTGAGGGGAAAAGATCTTGTTCCTGGTAGCCACTCAGCTCTTGAATCCCAGTCTGAGCGCGTGGAACGAAGCAGAAGGCAGATTTCCCCCTTGGTTCTCCCTCTACCTACATGCTGGCATTTTTGAACCAAATTAAAGATTGTAAACCTCGGGGGGAGGGCGCTGGCTTCTTGTACTCTGTACTGCAAATGAGGCCATGAAGCTGCCTTATACTGAATCAGACCCTTAGAATCATACTGGTGGAAGGGACCTCCAGGGTCATCTAGTCCAACCCCCCACAGAATGCAGGAAATTCACAAATACCTCCCCCCCATCCACACCCCCAGTGACTACTGTTCCACACCCAGAAGATGACAAAACCCTCCAGGATCTCCAGCCAAACTGGCATGGAGAACAGTGTCTTCCTGACCCCAAAGTGGCGATCAGTATTTCCCTGGGTGTGTAAGAAGGGGCCACGAGAACTAAGCACTGATGCTGCAACCCTTGCTGCCCTCCCTTCTCATGATCTGCCCAAGTTCACAGACTCCACAATGCTGCCAGGTGGGGCCATCGAGCCTCTGCTTGGAAACC